TGCTGCATTGGAGGTTTTTGAAAACTGAAATCTGAGTCGGTTGGTTTTTCTTTCTTAACATAGATGGCTTCCTTCACGCCCCTCTCAAACCATCTGTCTTCTTTGTCCAACTTGTGAACATTCTGGTCCTCCAAACAATGTCCTTTGTCCATCAGGTTTCTTGTCCCGGGGAGGTCGCTCTCCTGTGTTCGGCCATTCTAGAGTTTATTTTTTTCAAACAAAAACCAGGCTTTGTTGGGCTGCTGGATAAAATCTGGAACTCAACGCTATTTCTGACATTTTGAATTTAAAAAGTTTCCTCGATGGAAGAGAAACGTCTTCAAACTTGGAAACAAATTTCAGTGGATTGTTTTTGAACAATTTTGGAACCTAAAGGAAAAGTAAAGGAGCATGTTGCATATAATAGATATGGATATATGCAGATATATTCAGTCTGAATATATAGAATATATAAAGATAAAACGCACTGCAGGTATCTTTTCTCCATCCCTCCAGGATCACCCCCTCAGCAGCACATGCATGGACATATGATGACCAGGCAGCACACAGACAGTCTTCACTGTTTTCACAAGCACAAGTGTCATAAACGCAAGACTGTAAAGAAAAAAATGAAATCAGTATTACAAGCTGCAGATTATAAAATGTGAAATAAAGAATGCTTGTTTATGTATAGAGATTAGATTTGGATGAAACGTTGTAGATGCTTACAGTTTCATATTCTTCTGGGTCTATTTTAGAATGGCAAGGTCCAAAAACCTCGCTTTTGTTTGACAGATGCGAGCACAATTCTTTGGCATATTTCTCTATAAAAGAAAAAAAAAAGATTGTTGATAGAGCTGGGGATGGCTTATACAAACACTTATGTTAATGACTTACGCTTTTCCATGCTTGTAGTGCAGGGGTCGGCTAGTTCCGTTTTTACCTCAGGGCAGTCTGTTTTGGCCCGCCATGTGTTGGCAAATGACGCAGCTGTTCTCTCAGTTAATCCACTTGTAGTTTTAAAGTCGTCTTCTGAGTCATCGTTATAATCGCCACAAAGACCTTGATATAGAAAACACTTAAAGTAAAAACATCCCCATTTTCATCCTTTGTCCTGAACCCTGACTTTCCTCTGGTTAGATGCAGGTTTCGGGGAATGAGTGGCTAAGGTTATTTCTTCTCTCGGCTGTCTTTTTAGGGATTCTAGTGTCTTTAAATCAAGTGGAAGCCTACGGTGTTTTAATAACCTCTTCCAATTCTTCCAGATAAGAGACTTTATTAATAAGACAACAACTCTACTCAGGGACACTGAGGTTTCAGTATTAAAAAACTGTTCTTGGGAACTCATGAAGCGTCACTCAGCATGTGCTACAAAGCATAAAATGTCATAAGCGTCACTTATCAACTCTGGCCCAGGCCAGGAGAGGAGAGCTGAATATTGAGATTACTGATGAAATGTGGAGCAGTATTTGGAACTCTGCCAGAAAAATTACTATTTGCAACTTAAATTACTATATAAAGCTCACCTGTCCCCAAAACGGATGCCTAACGCTACGATCACACCTAAAGCAGCAGGAGCAGCTAGTTTACATGCAGTCAATGGTTGACGCGCATCAAGGCGCAGCAAAACATCCCGCAGCGCGTCGTGATCTACTGAGCATCTGAAGCCCGGGATGCACTGCAGATGCAGCAGCTGCTGCAGTTGGAAAAATGGACCTTTAGCTGCTGGAAGTGCCTCATCAACCAAT